TCATTTTAATATATAACATTTTAAACCTGATTTACTTGAAAAGGCAAAGAAAATCATGTAAGGTCAATTTTTAGCTTCTTCAAAGCTTAGATTAAAAGATTTTGCAAATAGCAAAAAACTAAAACTTTTTCCCTAATAAATTCACTTGTGTTTTTCAGGCTATTCCCTCACATTTATCAACCTCCCTCCAGAAATGGAAGGCCTTTTAAACTTATTCTTTCAGGGCCAGGAAGATAGCTAAATGCCTGCTTAGGCAAGCACAGGGACTGGGGTTCGATCCCATAGTCCTGCTGGCCCTGCCCTTGGGGTGTGCTAACCACATGGATGTGGTGGCACACACCTGTAATTTGGGTAGGCTGGAAACAGGAGGATCCTGAGTCTGAGCTATGTAGCAAGACCCTGTACCAAATACATAAAAATTAAAAAAAAACTTGCATAAGCTGAGGCCTTATGTGACCAACTCTGTGCTTAACTTTATAAAAAGCACCCCCGTTCTTCTATGTTCCTCACTGGCTGGACAGGCAGTACCAGGTGTGAAATACGGCTCCACAGCCCACTCAACTTGTCTGAGTCCATATGGTTGAAGGAGCTGGGGGTGTTGGAGTTGGTGAACTTGGCCCAGAGTAAATCCCTCACTTTTTCTTCAGTTTCTCTTGGGCCAACATTTGCTTCTAATGTTTCCTTTTCCAGCAGAACAGTCAGCACGAGGGCCTCATCTTTAAAGGCAGCATTCTCATGATCACAATACTTGTAGAAGATCAAGGTGGAGCCTGCAGGAAGAGATTCAAAGTGGTGTACCACAGCAGCCTTCTGGCCATTTTCAAATCCGTAGCTCAGTTCCAAGTCAACGATCAGTTTGACTGTGTCACTGTCCTGCAAGGCTCTCTCAGCCCCATCAATTGTAATGGCAGAGACTTTCTGGGCAGAGGTGTAGGCATCAGCAATACAGTGGCTCAGGCACTTCAGGGTCTCTCTTCCCTCTTGAGCTGCTGCAAATATGATGGTGGCTGGCTCAGTGGGATTTGAAGCATTGAGGTGCTTCTGGAGAAACTTGCGTCCTCGCTGCCACAGGAAGGAACTCTGGCCTGGAAATTTATCCTTTAACTGACTAAAGTGAGCCAAGAAAGCCTCCAAAGCTGGATTTTGGGGAACTTGCTGGGCTGGAGATGAACAGTGGCTAATAACAAAACACAGCACAACAGCCCCAACCAGCAGCGTACAAAAAATAGAGCCTGTCGAAAAATGAGAAAATAACAGAAATTCAGAGAACACACAAGTCAAAAAGCCTGTGGTAAAATTCAAATGACGTAGAGATCAATAACAGATTTTACTAGAAGTTCTAAATTCCTTTTGCCTAAAGCTTTTAAGCTTTCACTATTCAAGTCTGCCAGAAATACTTTTTCTCTAATCTCTTCTTCAATTACTTGAATACACAATATCTTTGCTATAAGGTAAAAGCTGGGTTTATCCATATTCTATTATTAATGATGTTTTAGAAGTGAGCTATTAGGATTTTCTTCCCAAAGTACTTAACAACCTATAGTAGACATCTTTTAGGAATCAAAACTTAAATATGCCCCTTGAGAAGTTAGTACACACTGGTTGAAAAGGAGGTTTTTTTACTAGGATTGTAGCTCAGTGATGGAGCACTTGCCTAGCATATGCAAGGCCCTGGTTTCAATCTTTTTCTTTTTTTAAATGTATTTAGTACAGGGTCTACATGGTCTCACTACACAGACTGGACTCAGAGTGATCCTTCCATTTTCAGCCTCGCAAGCACTCAGATTACAGGCACATGCCACCATGCCCAGTCTCATTCACAGTCTCAGTATGCCCTGGGGGCGGGGCCAGCATGGCACACAGGATCTTGGCCAGCCCTTCACCTTCAATCTTTTTTTTTTTTTGCATTGTCAGGTGCTTATACTACTGAGCTACCTTCCTGGCCCTCTGTTTTCAATCTTCACCACCACTACCACCACTAAATAAACAAACAACTCCACAAGCCTTATAAACAGGCAATTTTAGTGTCTTTTTTATAGAAAGATCAAAAGCCCTTCCTACTATGAGAATTTCCATTTCATTAAGTTCAGCAGAACATCAGATAGTACCCCATGCCCAAGGAAAAAACACCCTTAAATTTTATTTTATTAGGATTCATTATCAAACATTTTTTAAAAAAATATTAATGAAATGTTTAAATTATTTAAGTGTGCTAATATTATGGGCATTTGCACTGAGGCTTTATGAACATGAATCAACACTGCAATAAATCTAGGTTTATTCTCACCATAGTTCCAAAAACTCTTTTTGTTAATCTTTTTTATGGTATCCTGTGCAATGTCTTTCTTTTCTCCCAGTGTTTGTGTTTCTTGTTCAGGACTTTCAGTCTCTGGGAAAAAAAAGAAGAAGAAACAGTATTTTAGACAGTCTACTAATTAATAGTCCTTATACCTTTATACAGATCACCAAATTGACTAAAAGAAATTCTACATTTTGTAAGTTTACATAAAGATTATAGACTAGCTCATTTTTGCCAGACGTGATGACACTCCACTATATTAGCTTCTTTCTTACATATAGACTGTATTTTTTAAACAGTATCCTCTTTTCCTCTCACAGTCATGACCCAGAAGGGCCTATGTTCTTCCCTGGCTTTTCCTTTTGCTCTCTTACTTTCCTGGCCACTACGACATGACTGCTTTTCCTTCACACATCACGCTCTTCCACCATGCCATTTCTACATTTAAGCCTAACCGTGGATTAAAACTTGTTAAACTGTGAGCCAAAACAGAACCCTCCCTCTTTTAAGTTACAGATGTCATGTATTATGTCTCAGCAAAAACAGTGTCTTAAGACACCAAGGTTCAATCTCAAGTAACACACACACAAAAATAAAAGTTCTCTGAAAAGGAGGTTTTGATTTAGCTATGTTCTCAGCAAAAGGGTGAAATAAAATCAGGTAGTACTTCAGTAGGTTCTCTCACCTGGTGAAGTCCATCGCTTCCTAAGTGAATCCTGGCTCTCTTCTTTGTGATGACCAGTACTTTGGTCCTCCTGAGGGTCTGTGGTACATGACTCCTGAGAAGCTTCCGTTTCATGATTTACCTTCTCAAGAAGAGAGGCAGAACTGCTTCCGAAGTTTGTATCCACTCTTTCCTTGTCACTTGGAAAATGATTAGCATCTGGATCCAAGGGTTCTTTATCCAGGTTTTCTGCAAGGAGGTGATCCTTTCGTTCCCCATCCTGAAAACTCAGGTTGTCCTCATTCTCTGTTTCATCTTTTGGATATTTCGCAAAATTTGTTTCATCTGAACTTTCTGGTGTCTCACCTGTGTGTGGCTTTTCTGGACTTTCTGCCTCTAGCTCTTGGTTGTCTTTGTTAAGACCAGAGGCAGGGTATGGGGTCTGAGCTTCTTCAGTGGAACTTGCTGTGACTGTGGTTTTCTGTTCGTGAGAATTTACTGATGGATCATTTTCCAAATGAGAGTCTAGTGAGATAAAAATTTATAATTTTCATTGAAAAAAATTTCCACACTTTTTTTGTATTTAACAGGTCCCTGATTTATACAGTGGCTTCTAAAGCACTGTTCCTAAACAACACTACTTCACTTGCAGCCCACTGAAGGTAATTAAAACTTAATATCAATTAAATCATATTAGTATATGTAACAACTAATAGTAGTATAAAATAATTTCAAATGTCAGAACCAATTTTTGGTTATATTAAATATATCCTTTTCCTTTATATTAATTTTATTGAGAAAGAAGTAGCAATGAGACAGTTTCAAAACAGGTTAGTAGAACAGTTATAATAATACATTGCATACTGTCTTTGCAGTTGTTATTCATAGTACAAGAAGCAAAGATATCTTATCTAAATATATCCTTTTCCTTAATGAAAGGCAATGATTATCAGTGACAGCTCAAACCATCATGCCAAAGGCTGATGGAGAATTTTATCATGGATGAACCAGACTGACAAATGCTGCAAGAACCAGTCTTAACATGACCAAAAAAAGAGAAAACCAACTATCATTAATCTGCAATGGAAGACTCTTACCCCTCCAATGAAGTATTCTTGCTAAACAATTAAACTTGAATCTGATTAAGCTTCTAAGAGCTCAAGAATTAGCAAATAACAAAAATAAATAGCAGGAAAAGAAAAAAAAAAAAGAGGGTTAAGCTTCCATAGAAGGCGCATCAACTAAATATAATGTGTGGCCCATTAACACTCACTCAGATCCAGTTCTACCTAAGCCAAACATTGAAGAAACCATTTATGAAACAATCAGGAAAATCTGAATTGCCCAACATTCAATGATCTTAAATATTATTGATCTTTTAGGTGTGATGGTGCTGTGATTTTTTAAAAAATGTATTTAGTACAGGGTCTACAGGGTCTTACTATGTAGATCTGATTCTCCTGTTTTCAGCCTCCCAAGCACTGGGATTACAAGCACTTGCCACCACGCCCAGTCTCAATCACCATCTCAGTGTATCCCAGAGGTGGGGCCAGCATGGCACACCAGGGATCAAACCCTGTCCCTGTGTCTGCCTAAGCAGATGCTTTAATCTGCTGAGCTATCTGGTGGGCCCTATGTTGTGATTTTTGAAAAAGAATTTCTATAGAGGTTATCTACATGTGCAGACAAAAGAACATCAGGTATGCTGACAGAAAATGAAACTCTTTAATGGGTACATGAAGGTTCACTTTATCTGTTTGAAATATCCTTTTTTTTTTTTTTTGTCCTGTCTTTTTGTGACAGGGTCTCGCTATGCAGTTCAGACTGACCTTGAGCTCATTTTATAGCCCAGGCAGGGCTTGAACTCGCAATAATCCTCATGCCTCAGCCTCCCAAGTGCTGGGATTATAGGCATGCATACCAGGCCCAACTATTTATGTTTGAAACAGCTATAATAAAGCTTATTTTAAAAGGGCAACTTAGGCAATACATCAATAAAATGTATGTGGCCCAAATGTAAAGCAGAAGAAAGAGATGACTGTGAAGGAAAAAAAAGCATGAAACAATTTGGAAATTCAGAAAATGTGAATACTGCAAGATATGTGATGTTATATAAGATATAACTTTATTTTGGGTAATTTTTTTTTAGAAGACACTGTCTTTAAGAGATAAAATATTTACAAATAAAATGATATATCTTAGATTTATATTACAGTAATCCAGGGCAGGCAACAAGATCAACATTATGTTGCTATGATTTAAGCTGAAAGTTGAGTTGGGGAGGGGGTGGCTCATTATACTGTATAATAAGGAAGTTTAACTTCCTTATGGTAAAAGATGTAATGTAAGTACACCTTCTTCATCATCTGAAAAATCTTTTTTTTTTTTTTTGGGGGGGGGGGACCAGGAATCAAACCCAGAACCTCATTCTTGTCAGGTAGGTGCTGTGCCACTGAGCTATATTCTTTTATATGCTTATTACATACGTTTTTTTCTTTCTTTTCCCCCCTCATTTATGTTTTTTGTTACAGGGTTTCACTACGCAGCTCAGACTCATAGTGATCCTCCTGTTTTCAGCTTCCCCACCACTGGGATCATGGGCATGCGCCACCATGCCCAGACTCGTAAGCTCAGCATGCTCTGGGGGCGGGGCCAGCTTGGCATGTGGGACCGGGGATCAAACCTTGGTCCCTGTACTTGCTAAAGCAGGTGCTTGGTCCACTGAGCATGCCTGATATATCTTATAAGAAAGTTGAAGATATTAATCTCATTCTTACCTAAAATTGACATATCTCCTCTGAACTTACACAACACCAGTTTCTTGCATCTTATAAACATAACTGTAAAGATCTACCATCTTTTTTAAGGACCCACTGTACTCTGCCAATGCTATAGGTACTTAATACTTGAGCCTCTAAAACATTTATCTTCCTTATATTTGGGGCTAGAATTGTGGTAAAATCCAATAAATGGGAAAAAATAAAAGTAATCCTAACTAATGAATTAGTTTACTTCAAAATTTCAGGTTTTAGTTTTCAGAGATACTCTCTTTTAGCACAGTTCTAGTTTCCCACAGCACAAACCTTTGTGCTGAACAAACTAGTCTTACCCTCTGGAAGATCCCTAAGTCCACTGTCCGTCATGGTTGTGCTCTATCTCTTCAGCGTTTGGACTACTTTTTTTTAGTGTCTGGGTTTCTTTGTGAAGATATCTTGTTTTCTTCTTGTCCCAACTCCCAAAACATTCATGCTTCCCTCCGACCCAGGAAACAAGGATTATATACAGTGACTAAAATAAAATGGAAAAAATTAAATGACTTTTTATTCATACAAAGGCAAAATGCCAATTTCAGCAGTATTTATTAAACCTCTCTAGTATGGAGTAATATTTCCTCCCTGAAATATTTTTAGTAAAGAAAATTGCTTTCTACCTTTCACCAGGTTCAAATTCTAAATCCTACCACACACACACACACACACACACACACACACACACACACAATTCATCTTGCAGAGATGTCGTAATTACCAAATATACTACAGTGTAGTTAAAAAAGTATAAAAAGACCAAATGACCAAAATCTTAAACAGAGTAGCTCTCAAATTAAAAATACTTCTGAGTAGAATGTAAATCACTGAAGCAATCACTGCAGATTTCCTTTACATCTTCCATTTAATCTCATGTTACTTTCTCGTGGAATACCGATCAGAAACTTTCACTTATTAACAAATAACAATGCAAAAGTACTGCCTACAAACTACGATGACTGCCCTGAAGGATTAGGATGTACACATTTAGGATCACGTCACTGTCTTAGTGGCTTTCCCAGCACTCTTTCACAAATTATGCGAACAGGTAACACTTTATTTGATGCTCAAAGAAGACAAGAGTATTCGCTCTATATGAAAGAATCAAAACCAGAGGACAAAGCAACACTACTTGATCAGGTAATTTTCAAATTTTTTTTTAAATTTATGTGTGTGTGTGTGTGTGTGTGTTTGTGTGGCCAGCTCAGACCACCAGGGGGCGGGGCTGGCTGGCATGTGGTGCTGGGGGATTGAACAGTGATCCCTGTGCTTTGCTAAACTTGTTCTAAATAGGTGCTTTAGACCACTGAGCCATCTCACCAGCCCCAGATCAGGTAATTTTATAGTTAAATCTTACTGTCTAAAACAAGCTAAGCTGGGTAGAGAAAGTGTCAGCTACTCTGGAGGTTGAAGGAAGACTGCCAAATTAAGGGCCAGCCTGGATAATTTCACAAGACTCTACCAAAGTAGACATTGTTCAAAAAAGTAAGGAGAGGAACAGCACTGGAGATGTAGCTGAGTAGCAGAGTGCTTACAGCATGTTCAAGGCCCTGCGTCCAGTCTCCACTAATAAAAAACCAAAGTCAGTCCTTTAACATATATTACCTATAAAAATAAAAGCAGAGGAGCTGGGGAGATGGCTCAGTGGAATAATTGCCTCCCTGGCAAGCGCAAGGCCCTGAGTTCAATCCCCGGTTCTGCAAAAAAAAAAAAAAAAACGAAAGCAGACTGATAAAAAGATTAAATACAAAAATATATGCAAAAGAACTTTATAAAATTTTATCTTTTTATAGCTTAAGAAGCTACTCAACTATCCTTTGTATTCTCACAGTACTTCCACACAACTGAAATTTTATAAATTAGGTTAAATTCTAAATACCATGCCCCATGTATATAGTAAGCACTGAGTTTTATTTTAAAAGCACATAAAAAATGAACCTATGAATAAAAAGTGATTCAGTACATACACTGGGACAGACAGGAAAGTCAGAGGTCCTTTTTCTACCTTTGTAACACTCAGGAACATGTCTCAGATTTGGAGAGCTCATTGTTATCCCCACTTTTTTTTTTCTTATTTATTTATTTATTTAGGGTATTGGGGATCAAACTCCCCAGGACCTTGCACTTGCCAGGCAGGCACTTATATTGCTGAGGTATGTCCCTGGCCCCCTTTTATATTTTTCAAGTTCCTGGTGTTAGGCTTTAAGCTTTTCTTTTATTGCAATCACCGTGACTAGAAAAATATCAGCATTACATACAACCAATAAGGAATTAATATCCAGAATATATAAAGACTCCCACAAACCTGTAAAAGACAAGTGGGAATGAAATGAAAATGTGGGCCTAAAAGATGAACAAGCAGATTACTGAAGAAAAAATCAAAATCCTAATGAATATGTAGAAAGAATACTCTAAGTGAAAAAAGTTAGCAATTACATAGTTTTACATAGAAATTTAGAAATCTAACCATATACAGCATTGTAGGACAGTCGTATGACATTTTTTTGGTCTCGTTTTCATTACCCTTGATTTTTTAAATAAACATTTACTTGAGAGACAATATGGTAGTAATTGGTATGACATGACAAGCCATACATATTTAAAGACCAGAATGACAAGCATTCCAAGCATGACCCTACTATTACACATTGCTATCTTCAGTGCAATTGCTTAGTTCACAGGTATCAACATATATAGTTAGTCAGGGTGAGAATTCTACCAATTAACTGCTAGTTTAAAAAACCTGAAGATTCTCAGGATCATTGCCTTAACTATCTTGTGCACGTAAACCTATGGCTTTGCCCCTGTCATGTTTCCTAGCTTTTCTCCTTGCCCTCTCTTCATTGTCTAATCCTTAAGTTCTCGCTTTCCTTTTAATTGTGTTATACCTACTGTTATTTCCTCTTTTGAGTTCTTACACTAGGAAGACTATATGATACTTATACATGTGAGTCTGGTTTATTTCACTTATATCTTCAAGTGGCATCCACTTAAATATAAAGGCTTCGAGTTTATCATTCTTTATAGCTTAATAATTAAAAATACCACATCTTTTTCACCCATTCCTCAGGTGACGGGCATCTTGGTTGTTTCCAAGATTACTGGACTATTTTGGAATATTTTGCTGAATTCACGCATCTACAATATTTAAATGACAATGGAATACCCTACTCTGACAAAAGTAAACCAAAAAAAGGGATACAAATGAAGGACCATTTTGTATCTGTATACTGAAAATAGGATACATACACAGCTACTTTCTCTTAATTCAATGAATAGAAATATTTGCACTAATAGTGTTTGTGGACAGGATATCATGTCTGCATCTTGTACTATGAATAATCACTACGAAGACAACAATATACAATGTATTAGTTATTTAAATTGTCCTAATTGGTTTTGAAACTGTCTCACTGTTGTTTCTCAATAAAATTATTTAAAAAATTAAGATGAAGAAATATGAACAAAATTAAGTATTTATTAAAAACTGAACGTTTCAAAAAATAAGATACCGTTTCACAACCAGATTAGTATAAAAAAAAACCAGCCAATACTAAGTATTGGGGGGGATACTGAAAGAGAGCTCTTCAGTCCTACTGGCAGTGAGGGAAACTGTTCCTATCAAGTGGGAAAGCAACACAGCAAGTAAAATCAAGACATGTATATTGTATTTTATACACCAGCAACTCCACTTTTAGACACATACTAGAGATACCCACATACCCAAGCATGCCTACTATAGTATTAAATGAAGAAAAGGTAGAAAACCTAATTATTCAATAATAGTGAAGTGGATAAAAAAAATGTGGTATATTCTCATAATGTATTATATACAACAATTAAAATGAATTACAACTAAAAAGTAAAAGTATATCATATTTATACCAACTACTACATGGACTATTCTAGAATAATGTGCAACATTTTAAGTCATACTACAAAGATCTAAACTGAAAGTTACAGAGATTTGTTAATTTTTTTCCTTTATTTTATGAGCTCCAATATATGACACGGATTTCTGAGTTATATAACTATGTAACGTGTGGTAATACAATCTTATCTCAAAGCAAAGTACCCTTCTCGCTGTAATATTGTTATTCCTTTCATTGTCCCATATACTCAGCATATAATGTCACCAAATAGGTTTGTGATGAGGGCTCAGGCAGTCCTGATTAATGAAACAGAAAAATATGCCTAAATTATAACATAAAATATCATCAGGGTCATTCATATGCTGGAAACCTCTTTATATGTCACTGGCAAAGGAAAGTGTAATCATCACAGGCTGAATATAATTTACTCAAAACACCTGTGATCAGAAATGTTTCAGATTTCTGAGGTTTTCAGATTTTGGAATACCTGTATGAACTTCACTGGCTAAGCAGTCCTAATCCAAAAATCCAACTACTATGTCAATACCTTCCAGATAAGTATTTACTCAGTTCCCAACTCTTTAACCCATGTAAGTAAAATACTATGGATGTGCTGTTGCAGTGTTTCTCAAAATACAATCCACAGAACATCTATACAAGAATCCCCTAAGGTACTACTCCTGGACTTTATAATATACAGTATTCTAGACTTTATAAGCAATCTAATAAAAATTTTTAGATTTTTTTTTTTTTTTGGCGGAACCAGGGATTGAACTCAGCCCCTTGCGCTTGCAAAGGAAGCACTTATTCCACTGAGCCATCTCCCCGGCCCCTCCTCAAAAAGTTTTAGATTAAGACTCTAGAACACTAGAACTGCCAGGTTCAGTTTAGGTGTTGAGAAACCAATCATATAAACCTTTTTTTAAAAAAAAATTTTGGCCTTATTATTTAATACAATTGGTTAAAATAAAAATATATACTTTTTCTAGAGTGTGCTAATATTTAAAATTTCACATATGAAGAATGTTTTGTAGTATGTGTCTTTGGAACATACACATGCTTTAATAACTACAAACAATTTAGGCAGCAATAACAAGGATCCTAATATGCTCAAAAGTCCAATCTCAAAATAAACCCTCTCTTTTTTTAGAAGCTTGAGAATAGCCAAGTTCTTAATTACACGACACTGGTAAACTAGTCTTTACTCAGTTCAGCAGTCCATAGTTTATTCAGAAATGTAACAGAAACGCCATCATGACAAACATAAGGCAGATACAGGGGTGAGTTTCTGGAGTACATTAGTTACACAGAATTACAAATTTACGTTTTACATGTGGCAAGTATGATTTATTGCATTATCAATAATCATTCATTCCCCACTGCTTCCTTCCTGAAAGAATTCTGATTTTACCAGTGGAGGTAATATGGCCTACTGGGGAATGCCAACTCCATTCCCCTTGGCCACACTCATGTTCCAGTACCCTCTAACAAGATGTGAAAAGAAATATTCTAGGGACTTCTGCAAAAATTTTTATTCCCAAATAAAAGTCAGAATTAAAAGGAAAAATCCCTCTGCTCTCTACTTCCAGCATTTGGTTGGTGCTAAAATGGCTGGCATACTCAATGAGGAAATAGCCATGAGGAAAAAAGCAAACATAAGGATCCCAAGAGAGGACAAAAAAGAACATGGGTCTTTAATAACATCTTTGAGCTGCTACATAAGCACTAGATCATCAAGCATGGTAAGTGGAATTTAAAATTTGTTCAGCGGCTTCTGAGAGATTTTAAACAGATTTTTCAGAGTTGCCTGTCACACTGTTTCAGGATTTTCATGAATAAGAAGCTAGAAGGTACTACTCCTGGACTTTGTAATATATAGAGTCCTAGACTTTAATAAGTGGCCACTGTCTAATAAGGCTTTATTAGTTTTAAGAAAGATGCTTCCACGACTGCTCAGAATATATATGGAATCCTGATAATTCTTTCTTCATAAATCTCATCATACAAGTATTTTCCCATTTCCAGGACAGGACATTTTAAGTTCAGAAATCACAAAGACAGGACAGTCTTTGGTTATACAGAACCAAGTAAATGTAAACAAACAGCATTTTAAAATCTTTTTATGTAACTTATGTTATATGTTGCCTTACGCAATGTGACTTCTCTGATAGTGACCAGTTTTTAATATTCTGACAACCACTTTACGTATGAGTCAAACAAAATCAACACATATATGAATAAATTTTATATATGCACACATATACACATACATCTTTATCATTGATAAGGGAGAAATTTAAAACAAGTATTAAAATTTATTGGAATAATCTAGAAGCCAGCAGCAATGAGTATACTTTCCCACATTAGTTATTGTTAGAAATACAGTTATTTGACATACAATAGGAGGCCTGCCTTTAGGACTACCTTCTCCTATGTCAACAATTAAGCTCTGGAACAACTTAAGAGACAAGCTAGTTCCAAAACATCATTTATAGGGATTACAGATTAGTCTGGTTCTAGATGAACAGTCTGTCTGGAATACTAAATTCACACTGAACAAAGTGTAGGCTACAGAAGCAGAAACAATTTAAGGAGTTCCCCCAAACAATGATAATCTGGATCAAATTTAGAAATAAAAGGCTGGGAGTACAGTTCTGGTAGTGCACTTGCCTACCAGCACGCATGGGGCCCAGTTTTGATTCCCGGCACCACAAACAAAAAGGAAAAGAGAAGAATAAATTAGTTATTTTTTCATCTTCCTTAGAATACTAGCAAAAACTCTCTGGAGTCACCATGATTTTAACCACTATAGAAGTTACTTGTTTTGGCCAAGTTTTTTGTTTAAGGTTTTGTCTGTTCTAGTCAAGATTAACTGTAATGCAGGATTAAAACCAGCTACTCTGGAGTCATGTATCCTTTTTCTGACCAATGGAGGACCAAGAAGAAAAGGATGGCAAGCTTTTTCAAAGGTCCACCTGGTGAGATTTTGGGGAGCCCACTCAAGTGGGAAAGACCAAGGAAGAACAAGGCTTCTATTAGCAGGATTATCAGGATAACATTCAGGGCAATAATCAGCTCTATTAATACGGTCTAAAAAGACTTGGTAACATTCATTTTCAACAAGTTCAGTTTGGTACAACCAGTGGCCTAGTTCTAAACTAGGAAACCACTGTTGTCCACAATCAGGACAATGTGAATTGTCTGAGAACATCTGGATTTAGAAAGACAATACAGAAAGCAATGTAAAACCAAGAAGCAAAAATGGTTACTATAGTCTTGTTACAGGTTTGGTTTAGTAACCACTCAGATGAACAAACATTACTTGAAGAGGGTTAACTTTTGTCTTGCACCTCAGTGTAATTCTTTAAGATTCTGCTATCTTTCACTCGATCACAACAGTCTCTGAACTCAAGGACCAATCCAGTTTATAATGTTATCAGTCACTTACTAGCAGCACAGATCTTATAATAGCTTCTCCAAATCTCAGCTTCTCAAGAAAAGATAGGATTCTGGTCTAAATAAGTTATTTTTGTCCTTGGGCTTTATCTTGTGGTTGTGATGTCACACAGGGGAACTTGGCTTACTCTACTTTGCTGATAAGGTTATTACATTTGGTGATATAGAGAAGCTGACAGGTCCAATGAATCTTTTTTCCTGGTGCTGGCACTCCTGCTGTTGTAATACATGTAACCAAGTCTTAAGGCCTTGGCACTTTACAGCGATGTAGAGGGCTCAGGAAACCCTGGCAGTCCTGTTGAACGTGGATCCAATGGAGTCTGTCTTGGGAGAACCTTAATCTGGACCCAGTCACAGAGAAGTAGCTGGTGTTGAGTTGGCTGAAGGATCTGGGAATGCGTCACGTACCTGCAAATGATAAAACTTCAGACGACTCATATGGGCTTTGCAGTTGCTCACAATATTATTAGAAACATGCATTTGGAAATTGGGTTAGTTAAAGTAGATGAGAACTGGCTTGTGTGTTTTCCCATGACAATTTAGTATGAATTCAAACTACTTTATCTGTTGGGAACTATTCTTATGTTCATATGGGCAGTAGGAAGGGTTGTGGATCATTTAGGATTTACACTAGGACTGACTTAATTATTTTTTAGGACACTGTTTCTTTTTTATATCCCTTTAGCACTTTGGTTATAATAAAGTTTGTATAATTATGCTTAACCTGGTAAACTTTGCGATCACTAATATATCTCTTCTGTAAAACAGGTGTGCCACATAATGTATATACATTAATAATGACAGACTGTCCATGACAGACTTCAATCCAGCCAGGAAAAAGCTCACAAAATTACAGGGGTACCTCAGTTCACAAACTTGATTCTTTCCACAATTCTGGTTGCAAATTGAGCTGGATGAAAACCGAATCAAATTCAATAGTTAAAATCAATGTTGACCTTATGGGTAAATTTGATTCAGTTCTCATCCAGTTTGGTTTATGTCCAGATTTGTTCAAAAGAATTGAGGTTCATGAACTGAGGTTCCACTATGTTATGTACTATTCCTAGTAGGAACTTGGATAAAACACTTCTGAAAGCTGAAAAAGGAAATCAATAGAGTAGATCTCACTGCCCACACATATCTTACAGGTTGATGCACATGGTCATAAGAGAAGTCAAGTTAGACAATGCCCTCAACAACAGACCTGAGTTATCTTGAAAAAAAAAAAAAAAAAAATCAATCAGACAGAATTTGTAGATACTGTCCATCATCTTTGCACTTCCTCACAACACTAAATGTGACATGTAAACAAGTGGCAGAATAGGATACAGGGAACAACTAGATGGCTCCCTAGGTTCTATTACAGAAGATCAAAATAAAAATATATACTCTTTCTCAAACTTTGCTTTCTGCAAACTGAGGCTCAATCATGTGAGAATACAGGTCACTGGGGAACAATTAGGTGGTTGTATTGTATGAAGAACTGGTCTGAAAAGCAGAAATTATAGCCTTACTTGTAGCCAGCAAAAGTATTTTCCTAACAGATACTCAAAAATAGTTTGATTCTAGATTTTAAAGTGGCAAGTTATAAATTCAATAGAAGAAACTGACAATGCTAGGAAATGGGGCCCATATTTCGATGGGAATCTCAAAGTAGATCAAAGACAGTCAGTGTAGGTATAGAGATAGACTTAAGTTTAGGTAACAATGTATGGGTGAGAAGCACCAATTCAGCTCCTCAGGTTGAACAAAAGGTACATCTGCTAACTCAAGGGCTTATTTGGTGGTGACAAGACGGGGAATAATAGATGTCCCTACATCTCTGTTGACAAGTTTTAGCAACATAGAATTTCAGTTGTGGGATTAAATCTTGAATCTAGTTATAGCACATATGGACAGTGAATAAAATCCATCTACTTGTGTAGCTCATAAAACATAAATGATAGAAGTTATGTTACATGACTAAGCCTGTCATTTATTTTTTATTTTTTTAAAGAAATGCTTTTTATTTATTTA